CCCTATTGTTTAAAAATCCACGCCTATTGGTGACCCTATGAAAAAATATTCTTTAAAAAATCCACGCCTATTGGTGACCCTTTGAAAAAATATTCTTTAAAAAATCCACGCCTATTGGTGACCCTATGAAAAAATATTCTTTAAAAAATCCACGCCTATTGGTGACCCTATTTTTAAAAATCCACGCCTATTGGTGACCCTATTGTTTAAAAATCCACGCCTATATATGGTGACCCTATTGTTTAAAAAACACACATCGCCTATTGGTGACCCTATTGTTTAAAAATCCACGCCTATTGGTGACCCTATTGTTTAAAAATCCACGCCTATTGGTGACCCTATTGTTTAAAAATCCACGCCTATTGGTGACCCTATTCATTAAAAATCCACGCCTGTTGGTGACCCTATTCATTAAAAATCCAAATCCATCCAAATTTCGTGCAAATCGGGAGATATATAGCGATTTTGGTGCACCATTTACCTAAAATCGGATGAAACTGTATATGGGAGCTACATCTAAATCTGGACCGATTTTCCCCATTTTCATTATGGGTCGTCCTTAGGTCAAATAAGTGACTTGTGTCATATATCTCCAAAACGGATCATAAATGCGACAATTTCACTTTAATAGACGAACGGACCTGAATACATCGATTTAGATAGTGATTCTATTGGGACCCGAACTCCACGAAATTTTACACGAGTAAAGAAATCTGGTCGAAGAATAAGAATGACTGTTCTGATGAATACCGGTCCATATTAAGTAAGTGGGTCAAATGGACCCAGACATTTGTGTGAAAATTTCACAAGTTCTATTCTATGGCATATATATTTACTCCTGACGGACGTTAGACCCAAAATAGTAGGTATATCCAAGAGGAGTTGTTGACATTGATTAGTATTGATTAGTATTGATTATCAAAATGAAGATTGGTATATCCAACTTTTACTCTGGACCAATATTAGGACTTGACCACCAATTTATCTCAAATTTGAACTACGTATTATTAAAAAAGATAATTACAATTTAATATCAAAAAAATAATAATTTAAATTTTTACCAATTTCACAGATCCCCCAAAATATGCCATTCCATGATCAGAATCTTGAAAGTTCCTGTTAAGTGCAAAATTTTGACAAATAGGCTCAATGTTCCTGTGTAAGAGCTGAATATTTCCGTGAGAGCTCAATATTTGACAGGTTTTAGACTAATTTCGAATTTTCTTACTTACTATAAAATGTTGGTCTTGTCTCCCTGATCAGGAAAATATATTACCTAAATGGAGGAAAAGTCCATACTTCCCGATATCTGATCTGTCTCTAAAGTTCCGAAATTTATATTACGGTCCTCCACTTAAGAAATTACTGTGATATATTTTTAAACCAAGGCCCTCCTCTCGGTAGTTAAAATCACACCATTTTTTTTTCCAAAAGCCCAAATTAACAGTCCCTCTTCCACGTTGGAAAACAAATAGAAAAAAACTTGAATTAAAAAAATTGTTGCTGGGCATCGTCGTTGACGTGTGTATGTATGCCTCATCATGCATTTTGGCATTAAAACCGTTATACGACACATTCCTCCTATAGCAAGCAAGCACGAACAAAACCCAATTGGAGTTTTTTTTCCATCCAACCATTTTCACTCTATATAATTGAATTTATTTCAAATATAACACAGATTTAATTTATAAATTATTTCAATAAAATAGAATAATTAATAAACTGTATCAACTTACCACTTTTTTCCTAAATTTCTTTGGATTTTCTTCACTAGTCACACACCACTTCTTCAATTTTTACCGCTCAATGACTGCAGTCTTGCAAATTTAAAGACGCTGTAAAGCACAGTTGCACAATTTGCTGAAAGAATGGCAAAGCAGGAAAACAGGGTTGCATTCGATGAAGTAATGATAATGACACAGTTGTAATGATTAGTGCAGAACGTAACGTATAGGGTAGACTGTAACGCATGGTAAAAGGAGTAATTATGGGAATGGAAGAGTTATAGGTTATTTCAATGAAATAAAACGAAATAATTATACAATAATTAATAATAAATGAAAATAATAATAAAAATAAGAAATAATCATTAAATTAAATTACATAATTATTAAGATTGTTGTTGCTATTTTATAAATTAATTAAATTAAAATTAAATGTGTGATTTTATTGTTCTGAAAATAATATTTTAAAAATCTATGCCTTATGTAGACCCATGAAAAAATTATTTCAAAGATCTACGCCTTATATTGACTTTTGAAAAAAATATTTAAAAAATCCACGCCTTATAAAGGCCTTTGAAAAAAACTATTTAAAAAATTCTGTAAGCATATATTTTCGTATTCTGTAAGCTTATATTTTCATGTTCGTTCAGATTACAAATCGTGCATATGTCATTCGAATTACTATTTCTTGCAAATAATTTTGAGTTAAAATTAGGTCAATGAGAGAAGGTCATTGACTTAACCCTCTCAAATCTAGATGACTCCGTCATCAGAAATTGGAGGGTATCTGATGAATGTTCCTTCTCGGATCATTTAAAAATTCTCTTCGAGTTCTTTTTTGACGGAGGTAAACAACAGCCTTATCGGAATCCAAGGAGAACAAATTGGGAGCTGACGAACTCCCAGCTGACTCTTAATACAAACTTACAAACAGCTGTGGAACTCAATGCGGCCGTAAAAAACCTAACGGACATTCTCCTTAGATGCCATAAGGAATCCTGTCCGCTCGCATACCCTTGGAAGAAATCTCAGCCAGTGTGGTGGAACAAGGAACTTGGTGGGGCATAAGTATAAACTCGACACTGATTGAAACTAGCTCCTATAGAGCTAGTTTCAACAACAATATGTCCCGCCAAGTATTTATCTGATCCTTGAGAAGATCTATACTGCGTGTTTGACTCTCTCGTATGTTCCGGATCTATGGAACGAGGTAGGGCAAGGCAGGGAAACCAAGCCACTCTGCCACAAAAGACTATAGACCCGTTAGTTTATCATCTTTTCTCCTCAAGACTGATCGACCTGGAGATTAGGAGTCGTATAGACACCACCTCTCTTAGCAAGTCACAACACGCAATTCCACAATTCTGTGGAATCTGCACTGCAGGAAGATGTACGCTACTTTGAGAGGAACATGGAAAAGTCAAATTTTACGCTGGCCGCCTTCTTAGATATAGAGGGAGCCTTTAACAACGTTAAACTTCAATTGTATGTTCGATCATACAATTTGACGAAGGGTTTGAAAAATAGGTTAATTTAACGGACAATGAATTCGTGTTTCTCCAAAGAAGTTTCTGCATCTATATATGCTTGTTTTCGATATTATTTCTACCATTAATTTGTAAGTTAATTTCTAAATTAAGAGATAGGTGATCTGAGAAGATTTTATTATCCACACTAAGAGTTGAAACAAACTGCAAAAAATTTTAATGAACATATATAGAAATCAATAACAGAACTCCCCATTACATCACAAAATGTGAAATTCCCATCAATATCTCCAGATGTTCTACCATTCAAAATGATACATGCAAAATCTGCAACAATTTTTAGAAGTTTTCTGCCATTTGTATTAATACATTTATCTTTCGATTGTCAGTATTCATTTATATTAGGGTAGTTTTGAATAATATTATTGTCTAGAATCTGCTCTTCAGCAATTCTTGCGTTTAGATCACCCACAGTACAGACATTTTCTGGTGAGAACTCTTATAAAAAGTTGTCAAGAAAAAATTATTTAAAAAATCCACCCCTAATATAGGTTTCTAAAATTTTTTTTTAAAAAATCCACGCCCAGTTTCGTAGATCTAAACGCATTTTTATTCTGTATTTCAATAAAATACTTGTTTAGGTGCAAATATTTACTGTTTTCCACAACATGCAATATATCGTACAATGTGAACACACCTCATATAAGATGCATATTGGCAAATATTATTGTTTTGCTTTTTCTTTTCGCAATACCATCATATAAAATAATTTAACAACAAATTCAAACAAATTTAATCATGAAATTTCAAACTAAATACATCTTACTAAAATATTTATAAAAAAATATATTTGAAAAAAAAAATGTGAATAGCACTTTAGCAGAAAAAACCACATGGTAGCATATTTTGGCATTTGTCAAAATTGGCAGATACTGAACACAGCCTAAAAATAGCACAACACAGCCCGAGTACCAAATGAACAAAGCTTTTCTCCTATTTTATTGTTATTTCATTTACAGAAACTCGTGCTCACACCAATACCAGCACACAAATGTCAAATTCAATTGGAATTCCCCTTCCCCCCACCAACAATCACACACACATTGGCATTTTTGGTTGGAGCAAAAATAGTATCTGTGTGTTATTTTTCTTGCGTATATATACACACAATATAAACATGATGGAATATATGTATATGAGATGAGAGAGGAAAATAGAGAGAGAGCGGGCGCCAACTAGAGTAAATGTTCTGTTAATCTTTGTTCTTTTATGAGATTGATTTTCGTAGCATGTTATGTGTATACTACCATGCGTTTTTTTGCTTTGCTTTACTTGACAGATAGATTTGTCTGATTGGCATGTGTTGTTGTGGTTTTTGTTGTTGAGAGCAAAATAAATAGCCAGAAAACCCCCCCAAGGAGAAGAATTCATAGAAAAGCATTTCTATTGAAAAATAAAACTATACAGAGCGAGAGAGAGAGGGGAAAGAGATTATTAAGCAGTTGTTGTTGTTGTTGCCTGTCAAACAACGTGAAGGAGAACAAAATCAAACAAGACAAGCAATCAGCCAATGAGAAGAGCATTTGAGTACCCCAGCTGTGTGTATATGTGACTGTGTGAGTGAGTGAGCGAGCAAATGAGACTGTAGAGAAAAAAGAAGAAGAAGAACGCAAAAAATAACCAAAATTAAGGTTAACATAAAATACATTGCAGTCCGCTAAAAGATTTTGGGTGCAAAACTTTGAGGAGGATAATTTTAAGAAGAAAAATTTTTTTTGTAAAAAAAATATACACACAGAGCAGTGAAAGAAGAAGAAAAGCTGAAAAAATACCCAATTAAAAAACAAAAATAAATAAATTTCACACAACTATGGATTCAGGTGGGAATAATCGTTATGAACTTTTGTTCATGGACGAAGATATTAGTGATCCATTAGATAATATTGTTGCCAAGAAGAAAAAGCAGGTTAAGACTGCTGCTGCTACGGCAACAACGGGTGCTGGAGGAGCTGCTGCTGGTGCCGCCAAGACAACGAACAAAGGCGCCCAACAACAGGCCCCCAAAAAGACCAACAATCAGGCCGAAAAGGAAAATAAGCCATTGAACAGGAACGACAATAAGAAGCCAGGTGCCCCCGGTGGTGCTGTCGCTAAACAAGGTGGGGCTGGCGCTGCGGCTGGTGGCGCGAATCGCAAACGCAACGGTGAGGCTGGTGGCCCAGTAGCACGTGAAGGTGGTCAAGGGCAACAACAGCAACGCAATGTCAATTTCAGACAACAAAATGGTGAAACACGTGAACAACGCAATAATCGTCGTAATGCTCGCCAAGGCGGTGACAATGCCGTTGAAGGTGGCCAACAATTTAACAATCGTGGTGATCGTCCACCACGCGATCGTGCCCCACGCAATCGTAACTTTGAGGGTGGCAATCGTAAGCGGGAATTTGATCGTCAATCTGGCTCGGATAGAACTGGTAAGTTAATCGATGAAGAAGAAGAGATTTGCTTCTCAAGAAACACATGCTCATATTACATCCAGAGACACCAACCAAACCCCATAGATTTCCCAAACATCTTTCTCAGATTCCAAGTAGGAGAGGTAGCCATGATCATGTTTGAATTTGTCTTAATTTTTGTTAATTGCCTCCAAAAAGGTCGTGATTTTTAAAGGTGTTCTTAAAAACAGGGTGTCAGCGATCATTAAGAAAATTTAGGGGGCATGGTCGGTGGGTCAATCGTGTGAAGAGAAAACAAAACCTCAAAAACTTTGTAGGAACAGAAAACATATGGTGGTGCCCTGAAGCCGAGCACACCATATTTAGTGGTGTGTGAGGTGATGATAAGAAAGACCTCGCCGCCGCTCACTTCGCTAGAAGTGGGGTTAATGGCATGAAAGCGGCAGCATGGTTTTTTCTTTAGATGGCTCAAATTGTCTAGCGATCAACCAAACGACCGCCACCATTGGAAAACTAGCCCCAACACACAAGATTCTACCTAGCTACACACCTTATGCTTCACTCCCAAAAACTGTGCGGGAGGTGTGTTTGCATGAAGAAAAATATAATGAAAATACTACTTGTTGTTGGTCACAATTCCATTTCATTTTAACCCCCTTTTCTTCTCTTCCGATAATCATCGCGCGCCATAGGTGCTGGGTGCCGATCATCACATTTTCCAAAAATGTGTGAAATTTTTCTTCAAATCTCCACCGCCCAAAAGTGTTAAAAATGTGTATTTATTTTGTTTTTCTATGTTTGCAATTTTTATTTAGAAAAAAGTATTTTTTTCAATTTGAAAAAAATGTGATCGCCATTTGAAATAACAAGAAGAAGAAAAACACAAAAATATGCATACATGTGTTTATAAATAGTTTGCACACACATACACGTTGACATATGTGTGTGTGTAATTTTTCTTCTTCTTATGTTCCATCATTCGTATTCTCTTTCTGTGTTATCTGAAAAAGAACGCAGAAAAGTAGCAACAACAGCAAATTACGATACTCTATTAAAAAACCGCTTTTTCGAATGGGTGATGAGGGTACTTTGAAAATTAGGTACGAAAAATGGTACCATTTAGTGCGGATTTTTCTATTTTATAAAACATTAAACATCCCAGAGCGTGGGTTTTCTTTTGGATTTTTTTTTTCATGGGTCTGGCAGCTGTTCCCAAAACTTAGATTGTTATAATATTTCTTTTAATGAATAGCAGGGGGAGGAGAAGCAGCTAAGTAGTCCCTTATTCCTATAGACTAGACTACCTGTCGAACCTGATGCTTCTTTATAAAGAACTTTTTCTTTAGAAAATCTCAATTCAGCTATCGTTTCTAAGTAAAAACTGTATTCAGCAAACGTTTTCGGCAAATAAACTAAATTCAGCTATCATTTTCTATGTCTACTCTCAGTTCAGTCACGTTTTAATATAGTCTATATAAATTCAGTTAAGCTTTTCTATAAAAAACTCAGCTCAGCAATGTTTTTCTAATAAAAAAAGTCAATTCAGCTAAGATTTTCTTCAGGAAAACACAATTAAGCTAACTTTTTCTTTGGAAAAACTTAATTCAGCTGCTGTTTTCACTATATATGGACTAAGCTTAGCCACATTATCTATATATGTATGCAGTTCGGTCACGTTTTAATATAGAATATATTTAGCTAGGCTTTTCTTCAGAAAAACACAATTCAGCTAACTTTTTCTTTGGAAAAACTTAATTCAGCTGCAGTTTTCCATATATATGGACTAAGCTCAATCACATTATCTATATATGTAGTTGTTCATTCACGTTTTAATATAGCTGCATTTTTCGATATATGTGGACTAAGCTCAGTCACATTATCTATATATGAACTCAGTTCATTCACATTTTAATATAGAATATATTAATTCAGCTAGTTTTTTCTTCAGAAAAACTTAATTCACCAAATGGTGGTTTTCCATTAAAAAATAGTCAATTCAGCTAAGCTTTTCTGCAATAAAACCCAATTCAGCTAACAATGGTTACAGAAAAATCCATTCAGTTATGATTTTTTTGTTTTTTGTGGGAAAACTCAATTCAGCAAACTGTTTCCTTAGAAAAAACTACATTCAGATACATTTGACAGTATAAAAAATTCAATTCAGCAACATTTTTCTCTAGAAAAACTCAATTTATTTTTCTCTAGAAAAAATCAACCCTTTCTACTGCAAAACATAAATTCAGCTAACTATTGATGGAGGATATTTCCTATTCAGCAACATTTTCCTTAGAAAAAAATAAATTCAGCGAAATCGCTGATGATATTTTTTTCGGTGAAGTGAGTCTTGGAAGTGAGTCTATTTATAGATGATAATAAAATTTATTTGGACCAGATCACACTTGCATAATTCCACATACTCCTGATTTACTACATTAAACGACATGTACACTAGAACTTTTTTGCATGGTTAACCTTCTTTATGAGGATTTATTTGGCAAATCTGTAAAGGAATTGACAATTAAAACCCACTGGATTAACGAAATCCGGTTAAATGTAAACGTACTATTAGGCAATTTTAATTATCCCCATTGTTTAGATTTGCAGATGAGAAAGTTGAACTACACCTGTCTCGCCCATAAAATGAAAAGAGAGACTTAAATGTTTCAATGTTATTTATCGATGACATTGACAGTTTTATTGAAATAGCCCTTAGCTGTTTCCCAAGACATCCTAGATTCGTTTATATGCGGTTTAAATATAATTAAAATATATAATTTCTAGTTTCTTTGTGCGATCAATTAAAATTGTACTGCAATGCAAGCAATTCAGTAAAATATGTCAACATAAAGTGAGTGCCAGCCGCCGCATGTGAAGTATTGTCATTTCATTGCTCTCTTCTGTCATTACTTTAAATTTGCACAACAGGACATGAAAAAAAGCGCCAAAATGTGCGGTTAACTTGGCAATTGCAAAATAAATTTAATTTATTTAATTTAATTTGGGTAATAGGAAACCACAAGTATTTTAAAATTATTAAATATTTAATTAGTAATAGCCCCTTAATTAAAAACAATATAAAATGCCAACGTGAATTGTCTTTAAAGAGTCGCACGCTGCGCTCCGCTCTCCCTCTGCCACCATATGTTTTTTGGGGAGCAAATGTAATTTGACAGTTAAATGTAAAGTCACTCTTTGTGTATTGTTACCTCATGAAGTATGACGTATGACAAGAAAAAGCGCCAAAATATGTTAATCGGCAATTGAAAATGTAAAGGGCCTTCTCAATGATCATAACTAGAGAAAAAATGTGGCAATATACAATCTGGCAATTGAAATGGAGGACAATTAATAAAAAAATTAAAGAAACGTTTACTTAAAGCTTACATTGGAGTATTATTTAATAAATATTCCATCAATGTTCGCATTTAAGCATTTATTAGCTAATATTTCATCAATTAAATCAATACGAAGTGTCATCGCAATGTCCACGGAGGAGAGTAAAAAGCTCCAAATCGAAATTGGGTGATAAAAGAACCGAGGCAAGTAAAAGTTCACATGGAAACATTATTATTTTGAGTAAATATTTTTATATTTCTCAATTAAAATGCCATGTTAACACACAGACTCATATTTGTCATTATTTGACCATTTAGAAAAAGCGCCAAAACATCTAATTTGACAATTGACAAGGTATTGTCTGTTAACTTAATGAGTATAAATAGAGAAAAAGCGCTAAATATGTAATCTAACAATTGAAAAGTAAAAATAATAAAAACAAAATTAGAGAAATTATTCGCAAATTGTGCGAAAAAATACCCGAGGTAAATAATAGTTCAAATCAAAAACATTATTTAGTTAATATTTCACCAAAGTTATTGCCAAAAAATGTGATCTGACAATTAAAGGGGAAACATAATAAAAAGTTAAAGAAAATAGTTGCAAATTGGGTAATAAAAGTCATGGAAAAAGTAAAAGTTCACATGGAGTCATTATATTTGCTAATATTTTCTCAATTAAAATAAATTTTCTCAAATAAAATGTCAATGCAATGTCATCAGGCAGCCGCACTCGCCATATATTATTGTTATTGCGGCAAAAACGTCAAAACCATGAAATTTGACAAATGAACATGTAGTGTCATGTTGTGTATTCCTCCAATGATCATAAAACAGAGAAAAAAACGCCAAAATGTGGAATTTTACAATTGAATACTAAAATATATATACAGTTTGAAAAAATCGACAGTGTTTAATGGAGAAAATTAATAAAAAAATCATATTTAAATGTTTATTCGTTACTATTTTATTAATTAAAATAATTAAGCGACCATGTAATTTTTACGTACGCAGGAAATTTTTAATATTTTCAAATCAGGTTTAGAACCTCCATGGTCTCAATTACGATTTGATGACAAAAATATTGGATAGAATCTGATTTTTATCCTGATTACTAAAGTGACATTAATTTCCAACTTATTTCAAAATTTCTAAAAAAATACTACAAAAAATCAACACAGTGTTGATAAAGGAATTTACGATTTTATGACTTACATTCGAAAAAATCGGATTGTTTTTTATCCCGATTACTAAAGTGATAAAATTTTCCAACTTATCTCAAAATTTCCAAAATATATGATTTATTTTTTCCCCATTTATTACAAAATACAAATTTTTTCACCTAAAAATTCTTAATTTGTAATATTTTGTTATCAAAACATTTGCAATTTTAAAATTGAATAGTAACATTAATAAAAAAAAAGTTCAAAAAAATTGACACAGTGTTAATTGGAGGAACTCTAAATACAAATAAAATTTCATATTCAAATGTTGATTCGTTAATATTTTCTCAATTAAAATATTTAAGTGACAGCAAAAGCAATTTTATTATTTGTAAATCAGATTTAGAACCTCCATGGGGTCTCAATTAGGATTTTATGACTTATAAATATTCGAAAAAAATCTGAAGTGTCATTAATTTCCACTTTATTTTTGAATCTCCAAATCGACCTTAATTTATTT